GCGGCTCTGCTCCGCCTTCCCCCGTTCCCCCTTTGGGCGGAGGCACCAGCTGGACTGCGGGAGGGGGACGTGCCAAACCGCCGGGTCCCGGCTGCAAAATCCTTCCCAGCAGAGCAGCCGTGGCTGCCCGGGCTGGCGGGGGCTGGAGGGCCACGCCCTGGCGTCCCAGAGGAGGGCGGGCTGCCCGGCCCCCTGCCCACAGAGCAGCTGAGCCAGGGGCTGGTTTCCCACCGAGGTCCCATTTCAGCATCGGGCTGGGCTGCACTGACCACGCCTCTGCTCCCCACTCAACCCCCGCCACTAGCTAACGCAGGGGAGGGGGCCCTGACCCAGCAGACAAAGGGGGAGGGGGCCTCAGGCGCTTGGGTCCACACTGATGGTTCTGGGGCGCAGGAGGCAGCTGCCTGGATGGGGCTTGGGAGGGAAACGTGCCGTGTAGGCGACCCGCATATCCCTAGTCCTTGTATCGCTGGGCTCGGTGCACGAGGGCTGCATTTTAGCGCCTCGGCAGCATCCCCAGGGCGATGGTCGAGTTCGCAACTCCCCGCTCTCTGCGCACTAAAGGCGGAGCGTCGGGGCTGGGGAATGGCAGCCAGCCCCTTCCCGCAGATGCTGGCTTGCTTTAAACGTGCCGTGTAGGCGACCCGCATATCCCTAGTCCTTGTATCGCTGGGCTCGGTGCACGAGGGCTGCATTTTAGCGCCTCGGCAGCATCCCCAGGGCGATGGTCGAGTTCGCAACTCCCCGCTCTCTGCGCACTAAAGGCGGAGCGTCGGGGCTGGGGAATGGCAGCCAGCCCCTTCCCGCAGATGCTGGCTTGCTTGGCATGTGAGTTAGCTTGGACTTTTGTTCTGGCTGATCCATTGATTGTCTCCGCTCCTAGGCGGGTCTGTTCCCAGATGAGGTCAGCGGAGGGGAATTGGCAAACCAGTCTAATGAGATCATGCTGGAAATAGACCAGCCAGTGCTAAGCCAGGGCTGTCCGCACAGACTCCGGCAGGCATGGGGCAGAGGATAGTTAATGGTCTCTCAGTTGCACCAAATGAGCCTGTTCCCAGGCTGGGTGTGGTAGCTCCATTCATTATTCCCTAGGCTAGCCTTCCTGGCTGGGGAAGAGCCATTGGCATGTGGGAGGGAGGGCCAGGTACTGGGGGCACAGAAAGCAAATCAGTGGTTTGGAGGGTGAACTTACCAACTGCTGAGCACCTGCTGGGAAAGGATTCAGCATCCACAATGGGGCCAATTTCTCCATGAGGCACCAGAGTTGTGGGGGGTGGAAGTCTGGCTTGCCTTGTTTTGTAGACTGGGATTCTTATTCATGAGAAGTCCCATCCCAATCCTCTATCCAAATCAATTTTGCCAGTTCTCTGGGAGAAGAATCAGGCCCTACAGATAAAAAAGGGCGTGGCAGGTGGGCACATTTCAAGAAGTGTGATGCTGCAAAAGGGTTTCCAGTTACCTCCTACCTGTCTGGGTTAACAAGTATTTTCTTCTCTCTGTACTCTTCCTTTGCCCCCCTATTTTGAGAGCATATGGTGGTTAGACCATGTGGTGTTAAACAAAGAGTTAGCATCTGTGTGACTGTGCTGCTGACTCTTCAGAGCATGCCCCTCTCTAAAGCTTAACCCCTGATACTGCTGCTACAGTTATAAGCACTGAAGAGCCAAAAAAGGCAAACATGGGAGTGTCAAAGGGATCTTCTAGAGATACCTCCATTGCTACTTATTAACATGCAATTGCAGACCAGGCCAATGTGTTCACATCTCTTCCCTGCCTCCCATTCTCTTCTCCACAGCGTGAGTGCATCTCTATCCACGTCGGCCAGGCTGGTGTCCAGATCGGCAATGCCTGCTGGGAGCTCTACTGCCTGGAACATGGGATCCAGCCGGATGGCCAGATGCCCAGTGACAAGACCATCGGTGGAGGAGATGACTCCTTCAACACCTTCTTCAGCGAGACAGGCGCCGGCAAGCACGTGCCCAGGGCTGTCTTTGTGGACTTGGAACCAACCGTGATAGGTGAGTATGCAAAGCCATCATCTAACTGCTTTCTGGACTCCCCTTGTAAGCCCATGTGCAGACAGCTACTGTGCATGGACAGTGGGGAGAGACCGACTCTCTGCCTTTCCTCTCCCCAGATGAAGTGCGCACTGGAACCTACCGCCAACTCTTCCACCCTGAGCAGCTCATTACTGGCAAGGAAGATGCTGCCAACAACTATGCCCGTGGGCACTACACCATTGGCAAGGAGATAATCGACCTGGTTCTCGACAGAATCCGCAAGCTGGTAGATACCATCTCCTTTTAGCATAATCTGGGCAGGTTGTGAATAGAAAGCTGATTGAAGAATGTAAATTCACTGCTGATGGATTTTCCCCCATTTCCAATTCCAGATAATCATATTGTTAATGTTTTTATTGCCACCATATTTGTAGGTGGTCCCAAGGTGAAGTTAAAACTCCTTTGGAATAGAGTAGTTACTCAGAGCAATCTTGGGATAAGAATACCAGACAGTGAATACAGACAAGAAATGTTTTAAGAGATAAATTATTACATTGCTTCCAATTGCACTGGATTTACACTGATGAAACTCCTCTAAGAATGATGGAGTGGGCCCAGATTAATAGAACAGAATTTGGATTCTAAGAGGGGGAAAATGTCTAGGATGGGAACCCCCCCCCCCCCTCCCCCAAGAAATAACTAATCCAGTTCAATGATCCAATCAGTTGACAAAACTAGCAGGCAGCAGGTTTAAAACAAAAGGAAATGCTTCACACAGCACAGAGTCAAGCTGTGGCACTCTTTTCCTGGGGGACTGTTGTGAATGCCAGAATGATCACGGGGCTCAAAAGAAATCTAGATCATTAAGAATAGATCCATTGGTGACCATTGGTGACAATTAGCTAAGGTGGTCCAGGATGCAACTGGATACTTGGTGTTGCAAAGCCTCTGACTGCCAGATGCTGGGACTGGATGACAGATGGATCACTCAGGAATTGCCCTTTTCATTTCCTCTGAAGTACTTGGGAGTGGCCACTGTTGGAAGAAAAGATACTAGGCTAGATGGACCATTAGTCAAACCCAGGATGTCTGTTCTTGTGTCTTAACAATAGCTTCCTTTGTGTTTCCACCTTTTCTCAGGCTGATCAGTGCACAGGTCTCCAGGGCTTCCTGGTCTTCCACAGCTTTGGGGGTGGCACTGGTTCAGGGTTCACCTCCCTGCTGATGGAGCGTCTGTCTGTTGACTATGGCAAGAAATCCAAGCTGGAGTTCTCCATCTACCCAGCACCTCAGGTCTCCACTGCTGTGGTGGAGCCCTACAACTCCATCCTGACCACCCACACCACCCTGGAACACTCTGACTGCGCCTTCATGGTGGACAACGAGGCCATCTACGACATCTGCCGCAGGAACCTGGACATCGAGCGCCCAACCTACACCAATCTGAACCGTTTGATAGGTCAGATTGTGTCCTCCATCACTGCCTCCCTGCGATTCGATGGTGCCCTGAATGTAGATCTGACAGAGTTCCAGACCAACTTGGTGCCCTACCCCCGTATCCACTTCCCTCTGGCTACCTATGCCCCTGTCATCTCTGCTGAGAAAGCTTACCATGAGCAGCTTTCTGTAGCAGAGATCACAAATGCTTGCTTTGAGCCGGCCAACCAGATGGTGAAATGTGACCCTCGCCACGGGAAATACATGGCCTGTTGCCTGTTGTACCGTGGGGACGTGGTTCCCAAAGATGTCAATGCTGCTATTGCCACCATCAAGACCAAGCGTAGCATCCAGTTTGTGGACTGGTGCCCAACTGGCTTCAAGGTTGGTATCAACTACCAGCCTCCCACAGTGGTTCCTGGTGGTGACCTGGCCAAGGTGCAGCGGGCTGTGTGCATGCTGAGCAATACCACAGCCATAGCTGAGGCCTGGGCTCGTCTGGACCACAAGTTTGACCTGATGTATGCCAAGCGTGCCTTTGTTCACTGGTACGTAGGGGAGGGGATGGAGGAGGGGGAGTTCTCGGAGGCGCGGGAGGATATGGCTGCTCTGGAGAAGGATTATGAAGAGGTTGGTGTGGATTCTGTTGAAGGGGAGGGTGAAGAGGAAGGGGAGGAATACTAAAGTACAATGTCACAACGGTGCTGCTCTTACAGGGAGCTTAAACTATTCTAAACATTCAAAATGTTTGGTCCGATCAGTTAATTTGTATGTAGCAGTGTATGCCCAATTGTGTGTGTTTGCCGTATGGTAACTGATCTGTGCTTAAAATCATGGAAGTTTTTGTTACAGACCCAAACCATCCACTTCTTGTGGGTTTGAATAAAAAAGCATTCCCTGTGTTAGAGGATCTGTCTTGTGTATTTTACTCAACGTGCTCCTTAAACAAAACAAAACGAAAAAAAATCAAGTCTTAAACCTCCACAGCACTGACAGGAACATGTAGTTGAACACAGTAGACCCAAGATAGTGAAGTTGCCCTCTGTAAAATCTAAAACTGCACACATCTTATCAAATTCAACACACAAAGCTGAATTTGAAAACTTATTCTTGTAAGTTTTTTTCAATGGCTGAAGGCCGTGCCTGTAGGAGAGATCCAGCTGCAATGGTTGTAAACCATCACTGCTTCCTTGTGTTTGAACTGTTTGCATATTAGCATAGTCCTGAATCTGCACCAACTTGTCAGGAGTACAAGGAGCCACTGGGGCAGCTTTGCTGCAGGGAAGACCAGCTCTGCCCCTGTCACATTCTGTAAGCTTAAGTCAAAATATGAACTAGGCATGGAAACTGGCCTGTATTCACTGCAGAGCTGGCTTAATGAACTTTCAATTGTAGCCATTTGGGGATGAGAAGGGTTTCAGCCTAGCCTATCATTAACACAACATCTAAAGTAACCAAATCCAAATTGTAGCATCTTATTTCAAGATGACTAAGGGACACTCAGCCCCTCACCCTCAATGAGAAGCTTATAATGAAAATCATGACTTGTTACCAAAACTACAGTGCTAACCAGGTGACTGACATAAAATCATAATACTAGAACTGGAAGGGGGACACCAAGAAAGTCCAGTCCCCTGTGCTCATGGCAGGACCAACCACCATCTAGATCAGGGGTTCTCAACCTGGGGTATGCATTATCAAGGGGGTACAGGGAATATTTGGTAAATAACTAGATTATCCTAACTGAAATATTCCAAAAGTAGTAGTGTTAGTGAAAAAAGCTGTGGATTCTAGAGTCTAGAATTTATTTCCTTTCATATTAAATAAGGGGCATGGGACCGAAAAAGGTTGGGAACCCCTGATCTAGATCATCCCTGATATCTAACCTGCTCTTAAATATCTCCAGTGATGGAGATTCCACAACATCCCTAGGCAATTCATTCCAGTGTTTCACCACCTTGACAGGAAGTTTTTCCTAATGTCCAGCCTAAACCTCCCTTGCTGCAATTTAAGCCCATTGCTTGTTCTATCATCAGAAGCCAAGGAGAACAATTTTTCACCCTCCTCCTTGTAACACGCTTTTAGATACTTGAAAACTGCTATCATGTCCCCTCTCAGTCTTCTCCTTTCTAAACTAAACAAGCCCAGTTCTTTCAGTCTTCCCACATAGCTCATGTTTTCTAGGCCTTTAATCATTTTTGTTGCTCTTCTCTCCATTTTTTCCACAGCTTTCTTGACATGTGGGGTCCAGAACTGGACACACTACTCCCCAAGTGAGGCCTACTCAGCGCTGAGTAGAGCAGGAAAATGACGTGTCTCTCACAACACTCCTGTTAATGCATCCTAGAATCATGTTTGTGGGGTTTTTGTTTGTATTTTGTGTGTGTGTGTGTGTGTGGGGGGGGGGTTGTTTTGGTTTTTTTTGCAACAGTCACACTGACTCTCATTTAGCTTGTGGTCCACTATGACCCCTAGATTCCTTTCTGCAGTACTTTCCTAGACAACCACTTTCCATTCTGTATGTGTGAAACACACTGTTCCTTCCTAAGTGGAGTACTTTGCATTTGTTCTTATTAAACTTCATCCTATTAACCTCAGACTATTTCTCTACATGTAACCTAAGACACTCATTAAAAGCACCCTGGTCAAATTTGCCCCAAAATCTAAAACTCAATGGATATTTATAAGAGAAAGATGCCTGGAAGCATTTCCATTAAACTACTTTCTTTGACTAACAAATATTCCCCCTGTAGTATCTGCAACATTGTCCTTGTGCATGAGAACCCAAGAATGAAACTGAGTAGAAACAAATGGAAACAGTCTCCATTGGCAACCACCTCAATTTGACCAAAAGCAAATTAAATCTTTCAAATACTTTGCTTTAGCCATCTAAGCTGTGGTTTGTATCATCCAGGGCAGAGAATTTGCTAAATGCAGGTTTTAGCATGGCAGTGACACTTAACAAAGGGCAGATGCTTGCAGTCATGAAATAAAAGCACCTTCTCAGCTGATTTTCTGGTAATTGTATGTTGCTGTTTGCTCTTACATTTAAGAGACTCTTTCCATTTTCATTTGCATTAACTGAACCCTGAGGGAGAAGAAATTAAGAAGGATTTAAAGTTCATGAATAAAGGATAATGCAGGTGATCTTTAAAAAGGGTTGGCTAATATCTTGAATGTTTTTTCTATAAATGGGAGTTCTCTGAACCATTTACCCTTGCACATAGCCTCTAGCTGCCACTAAAAGCCACCTCATGTCATGCACTAGGGGCAGAGGGAGAAACAGACTGAAGACAGGGTGAAATCCTGGCCCTACTAATAAAACTTCAAGGGGACCAGAGTATCCCCCAGAGGTGGGTTTGGTCATTATCAACAAATACTAAAAGTGGGCCCTGGACCTGTGCCCATTGAAGTCACTTTCCCTCTTGGTTTCATAGAGATCCCAGAGCCTTCCCTTATTCTGGGCGTACCTCTGCCTGCAGAATTAGGCACTGTGTACTATGCCCCTGCCTTAGACATTTGCCTCATGAAACATTTACTTGCCATCTATATTTCAGACTAATTACATACAGGCTAATGCCAGTGCTGCAGTGAGGGTTTTGGTAGCAAAGTAGGAGTGAAGCAGTGACTAGGGATTCTAAGTTTAATTTCTTTGTTTTGTTTCTATGTTTCACTTCCATAACACAGAAGAGTAGAATTTTTAAAAAAAATCCCTTATTGTTTTTGCAAAACCTGCCTGGTCTTTACAGCCCTTTACACTCAAGGGGAAGACAATTTCTCAGTAGCAGCACTGCAATATTTGCATCTTGTACCTTTTTGTCAAATAATACTGTGAGCCAGTCTACAGCATTGCCAGCCCCTACAGCCTTCCCTCCTTCCAAACAAACCCTACCAGTTAAAGAGAAGAATGCTGCCTAAAGCTACATTCAGTTAGAGCCACTTGCACAAAAAACCCTTTTTGGGTTGAAAAATTAAAAAAGAGGCTGCTTAAGGGACATAATGTCACACCTTTGCTATTCCATCTTTGCTCCAGAAGTCGAATAAATAATGGAAGTCAAACAAAGTGAAATTTGAGAGGAGAGAAAGAGTAGCAGGCCCTTGTCATGCCTTTGAAAAAAAGCTCATATTCGCAACAAAAATGGTCTCAGGGAAGCTACTGAATGCAATGAACACAAGGCTCTGTGTGTTCCCAGCTTGAGAAGAATTAATTCTATTCAGGCATGCCACTTTGAATACAGCATTTTGTAACTGCCTGCTGTCATTTAACTGCAGCTTATAAATGAGTTCCCAGTGTGATTGAATAGTTTCTATCAGAAGAACTTTACTGTGTAGAGATGCAGCATTTTGTTTCTGTATTTAAAGCACTAAAGCACTTCTGAATGTTTAATCAATACGAGAATTACAACTGGAGGTCATCTAAAGAAGTGAGTTGTGTCCACAAAAGCTCATGATACCATCTATATGTTTTGTTAGTCTTTAAAGTGCTACTAAACTATTTGTTGTTTTTAAAGTTTTAAGTGGAGGACAGTCACTAAAAGACTTTCTCCAGTATTCTTGTCCAGCAACATAGCCACCAGAGGCGAGTCAGAGATGCCAGATGCAATGAAACATAAAGTGCCAAATTCTTTGCTGGAGCTGGAATAATTTGTCATGAGTCTAAAGTTACTAATTCATGCATGCACGGGAAGCATGCTTCAGGGAGCTGTTCAGATGCACCTATGCTGTCCTCCAGTGGCTGGGCATGGAGACAAATATACATGATCCATACAACTCTTTCTATGAGTGGTTGTAGAAAGCAATTACAGGCAGTCCCCAGGTTACATGGATCCGACTTACATCAGATCCCTACTTACAAACAGGGTGAGGCAACCCCACACTAGCTGCTTCCCCCCAGCAGACCAGGGAGACGCGAAGCTAGCGCCCCCCCCCCCAGCAGACCAGGCAGACGCGGAGCAGCTTTTCTCAGCAGACACTCAGCTTGAGAATAAAGGACTGAGGGAAGTGAGGTGTGGGAGAATAAAACTGAGCTCTGGAGAAATGTTTGGCTAGAGTTTCCCCTACAATATGTACCAGTTCCGACTTACATACAAATTCAACTTAAGAACAAACCTACAGTCCCTATCTTGTACGTAACCCGGGGACTGCCTGTACTCATCAGGACTGAGTGGATGTTCATTCCTGCAAACATCTAATCTTTGGCAGGTTTGCATTAACTGGCCCCCTAACAAGTTTCTTAAAAACACGTGTGAATTTCAACTTCCCTTTCTGCTGATGTGTCATGAAGGACGTCAGTTTACAGCTTGAAGCATGAGATTATTATGTACCTTGTTTTGTTAATGTTGTTGATCAGTCAGTTATCCAGGCCTTTATAAAATCTATCAGTTCCTTTGACTTGGTTTACTATGGCTGTGAGTTCCACCGGATAACTAAAGGGTGTACAAATTAGTGATTTTCATTGATTTAATCTAAAGATCTTTTCTTCCTATACCCTAGGACAACATAAGGAACTAAACCATTTTTACTATACCTACTCCATGTAGTTTGCTTTTGCTTGCAGGTAAAAAGTGCAATCCAGTCCTCCTTTTGTGTCTTGTCCACATGGGCAAAAATGGAATCTGGAATACTCCAACCAGGGGTAGTGATGTTAGAGGTAGCAGTGGAGCTTAGAGCATGGTAGCTGATGGCATAGTGATAAAAATGTACAGACTAAGCTGAGCCCTGTCTATGCATCTCAGTTCCACCAGCAGTACTGCAGTAGTAGGGTGGGGGTAAAATAGGGGGTCCCAGCTTTGCCAGTGTAGAAGCAGCCATTGTGTGAAAACAGATGGTTCTTTGCAGCTGGTGGTGAGAGAGCACTGAGGGTATTCATAAACCGCTCTGAAAAAAAACAACAGGAAATAGGATCAGTTAGACTGAGCAGTGTAAGAGATTAGATCAAAACACATTTCAGTACAGAGGCGGCCTGGATGAGAGAGGAAAAAGGGTTAAAGTGTTGCCCGAGTGAAAAATGGACCATTTTGGTTTTATAAACCACTGAAAGGATGGTGGCCTCCCCCTTCTTTTATTCATTGCATAAAATGTAAGTAAAATAAGAGCACATCTAGCGGGAGCCATTTGCAGATTCCGCGAGGGAAGGGAAAGCATGTTGATGTGATCAAACCGCCAGCCAAACACATTCACATGATTCTATGGCTGTCTCTGCACTAGCCTTGTTTTTTCCCTTCAAATCCTCACAGCTGCCTGCTGTCAATGCCCTTCCACAAGTCACAGCAACAGTGGGAAATTTTAGGGAAAAAAACCCCCATTATTCAGACAAGGCTGAGCTATGGGACAGAAAAAGCCCTTCAAACTCTGCATAAAAGGGGAAGGATATGGTTTCCTTTCTGTTGTCCATTTTCCAAGCCTTTAGAAGGTAACATGACACATAGCAAACAGGGCTTCTACTGACACAATCCTCTCTGTAGCTACAAAAACAGCCTGCCCCATTTGGAATCTGAGCAGTGCACATCTCCAATAAGTTGCCTGCTGCTACTGCACCAAGCAAGTTCTCATTTCTATTAATAACCTTGGGGGAAAGCTCCACATCTTACAACAAACACTAAGTCATTGCTACCAAGGGATCCTCCTTGTCAGGGGCGGGAGAGGCAGGAGGAGAGGGGGAGCAGAGAAAGCTTTGCATAGCTCAACAGTGTCTCCTCTGGCTGACTGAAGAGTGACATTGACAAGTTTCTGGGAAGACCCACGTCAGAAGACCTGGAAGGTAGGTGGCTGGGCAGCTTGGGGGTAAGGGCAAGAGATTACAATGGGGGTGACACAGAGCCCCCAGTCCAAGTTCCAGAAACAAGCAGTGATTAAATGTCTAGAACAAGTGCGCATGCACACACACACACACACACGGTTTTGGGCTGTGTTTGTGGCCTCCTTTGGGAGAAAACGGTTGTGCCAATGACAGCACAGATTGGTAGCCCTTGCCCTCCCCAGAGTGTGCCCTAGGTGAGCGTGGCCCCGCTGAATGCAAGCAGGATGCTTTTTACATGTGTCAGGCCCATGATCTTCAGTGTAGAGCAAGGCCCATCCAGTGCCATTTGGCTTCCTTGTATGGAGGGGGCCTTTCCAGATGGGGGACATAGGTATTGGGTTCTAGCACCACTGCAGCTTGCAATTTTTTAAAAGGCCTGCATTGCAGCCATCACCCAATACCCAGGCCTGCCTTGCAGGGTCACTCCCCCTAAAATCTTAGGTAGATTATAGGATTTTGGCACTGCAGATATCTGTCATATTTGCAACATGCCACATGTCAACATGGAAAAGACTCACGATAGTGCTCAGGCAATAAAGAAACTATACCATGTAGCCTCTTTTTTAAACCAGGTTACTATCGGTGCCTATGAAATCCCCCTCTCCTATTGAAGGGTCACAGGGAGACGAGGGACTTTATGCCTGCTCCTTGTTCCTTGGCTTCTGGGTGGACTCCGTGCAGCACAAGGAGGGGAAGTGGGTCATGCCTGCGCTTTGCCTAAGGCAGTGGTCACCAACCAGTAGATCGGGATCTACTGGTAGATAGTGGAGCCTCTGACAGGGGATCCTGATTGGTTTGGCCAAAAGGCTATCAAGTGCAGGCACTTCAACTGCCCCTCTACCTAATGCTGCTCATCTCCTGCCCTTTGCCTTGCAGTTGCCACCCCCATCCTCGGGAACCTCCTGCTTTCTGTGCAGGGCAGGAAAGGGAGAGTAGGGGTGCTGATGTCAAGGTGCACCCTCTCCCATCCTATATCCTATCTCCAGAGCACAACAGGACTTGGGATGGAGTTTGCTGGCTGCTTTAGGGAGTGATGCAGGGCCAGGGCACGAGTGAGCCTGCCTTAGTCCCACTGCACCACCACTTAGGAGCCACTTGAGGTAAGCAGTGTCCAGTCAGACCCCAAATCCCGAAACCCTACCCCAGTCATGAACCCCCTCCTACACCCCAAGTCTCTGCCCTAGCCCCAAGCACCCCTGCACCCAAACACCCAGAGCCTGCACCTAGAACCCCCTCAGGTACCCCAACTGCCTGCCCCAAGCTCAGCTCAGAGCCCCTCTCACACTCCAAATCGCTTAATCCAAGACCAGAGCCTGCACCCCAACCTGCTGTTCCAGCCTGGTGAAAGGGAGGGAGGATGGGGGCGGAAGGGAGGGGGGATGGAGTGAGCAGGGGTGGGGCCTCGGAGAAGGGGCACAAAGGAAGCAGGGCCAGGGCCTTTGGGTCTGAGGTAGATCCTGGATTGCACTTAAATTCAAAAAGGGATCTCATGCTTAAAAACGCTGGAGACCCCTGGCCTAAAGAAATGGGAATCGAGGCAACACTGGCAGGCCAGACTGCTGAAGTTGTCCTGGTGGGCACAAAGGTAAACAACAAACCCGCCATGCTGGGGCTACGGTTCCCCAAAGGAAAGAAGGGGTGAGGAAGCTAAGCTGCTCTGGGGTGCAACAGAGGAGGTGGAGGCTAGAGGGGAGCTCTGCCCAGGAGTCAGACCAGGGACAGCAGGGGAGGAAGAAACAGGAGGATGAAAAAATACTTTATATTTGAAGGGGGCCAGTGTTTGCAGGAGGATCTTTATAGGATGTACTCCTGGCTAGAGGGGCATGCTGCTTCCTGGCGTGCTCTTGCCAAAGGGCAGAGGTTATAGGGGGGTAGGGTCAGTGCCACAGCACGTGTCTAGCAGGTGGTGGGTGCATGCACCTGAACTGGCAGGGATGGCATTTGGAGAACCACTGTTTCCCCTTTCTCTCTCTACCTAGATCTTCTCCCCCTCGAGCTCCAGGAGGCCAGAGTGCTAATCCAGAGTGGTTCCCACAGAAATAACCAGGTATGAGCCCAGACTCAGCCATCCTTGCCTCCCTGCTGGCACGTTTCTTTGCGCATTTTTTTCCTCCTCCCGCCCTGCCCATGGGAACCAGGCAGAGCCACGTCTGTTCCTGCTGCCGCATTTTTTCTCTGCAGCCTGAAGCCGCAGTCCCAGTCAGGCGGCCTGGCCCAGCTCTCCCTCTGTATGCACACTGCTCTGCAGCTTGCTCCATTATTGATGGCATCCGGGAACCTAGACTGAGCTGCCCTTCCTCTTCTTCAGTCAGTCTCATCCTCTGCACATGACAATGCAGTTTTATTGGTTTGATTTTAAAGCCAAGAACAAAGGCTGGCTGAGCTGCCCCGGCTGGCATCACAAAGCACCTCCTAACTCAGCAGCTGCAATTTTGTATCTAGGAGCTTTACAGAAGCTTGCAAAGTTGCATTTTTGTCTGGTCACCCTGAATCCAAGTTGGTATCTACAGGGAGGAGGTGGTCGGAGACTGGGGGCTGGAGTTAGAGTTTCAGCTGTGGCTCAGCCTGAAACTATCTGAGTTATTTGGAGGCCAAATGTGCAGAAAAGCCCTTGGCAGCTGCCAGACATTTGTCTTCCCCCACCCACATGGAGTCAGCAGCATCCGCAGAGCTCGCAGTGATCTATTTAAAAAAACCCAACCCACTCCGTCCTGTAATGAAAGGGTCCTTTGTTATTTGTTCAAAGTAACCGTTTTCGGTCTGTGGCCTGGAATCTCTGGTCTGGGGGTCTGTGGACTAAGCTAAGGGGTCCCCCCAAGGTTGGCATGACCATAGACCGGCGGGTTTCCCCAGGGGGCCTGCAGATTAGTGCCACGATTAGGAAAGGGGGCTGCCCCCCTCATTCCAAGCGCGTCGGGGGTGCAGACGAGCACGGCGAGAAGCCCCGGTGCACGCTCCCGCAGCCACAGGGCAAACAGCCCCCCATGTTCGCACTGCGGGGGGGCGATGCAAGGGGGGGTCTGCTCTGCAAAATGGGGGCACTGCCTCTGACCTGCCCTCTGGCTAGGGGGGCGCCCTGAGCCCCCTCTCACCTTACCTGGTGGGTCAGGGGGTGCTGGCCTCTAGGGGACCCCCTGCCCTGCTCTGGGGAGCCCCCGCCTCTGGGGCGCAGGGGGGGCCGGATGACTCGATGGGGGGGCGCCCCGAAACTCAGACTCTTTGACTAATTGTGGGGGCTCACTGGGGGCGGGGCCCACG